CTGATTGGGGTGTTAAAAGATATGTTTTGGTAACAAAATAAAAGTGGACTGACAAATAGATCAATGCAGTGCAGAAACAAGACACGCCCTAAAGGCGATCCATGTGACCAGAAGTGAAGAAAAGTCATTTCTAAGCAGGTAAAAAAAAACATTATAGTAAGCAATAAATAAACACACACACACACACACACACACACACACACACACACACACACACACACACACACACACACACACACACACACACACACACACACATTTGTTTTTGTAAAAAGTGGATACATTACATATAATTCCATTCATTTTATTCAGCACAAACCATATATTATATTGCCCTCACCCCACCCTACCCCTAAACCCAACCATCACAGGAGACTGTGTGCAGCTTTACTCTCTTAATAAACTCATTCTGTGGGATTTATACACATTTTGAGAAAGGACCAATGTCCTCATATTTCACCTCCTTTTTTTAATACCTGTGTCATACCTATGTCATTATACAGGTTTGTGTCCTGACATGTCACAAAAACACGTACACACACACACACACAAACAGTTTAAGAAATACAAAATTATTTCAACATCATTTTCATCAAGTTAAAATTTATGGGTTAGTGGTTGGGACAGCCACCCCCCAACTGATGTACCCAGTATATTATGATTGTATATATATTCATTCATTCATTTTCTTGTCGGCTTAGTCCCTTTATTAATCCGGGGTCCATAATCCACAGCGGAATGAACCGCCAATTTATCCAGCAAGTTTTTACGCAGCGGATGCCCTTCCAGCCGCAACCCATCTCTGGGAAACATCCACACACACATTCAAACACACACTCATACACTACGGACAATTTAGCCTACCCAATTCACCTGTACTGCATGTCTTTGGACTGTGGGGGAAACCGGAGCACCCGGAGGAAACCCACATGAACGCAGGTAGAACATGCAAATTCCACACAGAAACGCCAACTGAGCCAGGCTCGAACCACAGACCCAGCGACCTTCTTGCTGTGAGGCAACAGCACTACTGCGCCACTGCTTCGCCCGTATATATATTAAACTTAACTTAAAAAATATTAAAAGCCTTGTGACAATGATTAGGGAAAACGTGGGCCCCCAGAGCCAAACCACTTGAGGTTTTTGAGGAAAATCAAAATGGAGGATAAGACCTGCTTATACCAGCACCACAATTTGTATGGATGTTTTCAGCATGACCTAGATCATGGGTCTCAACCTCAATTCCTGGACGGCCACAGCTCTGCACAGTGTCGCTCCAACCCTGATTAAACACAGCTGATCCAAATAATCAAGTTGTTCAAAACAGTCTCGAACACCTTGAATAGTTGCATTAGCTGTGTTTGATTAGGGTTGGAGCAAAACTGTGCAGAGCTGCGGCCCTCCAGGAATTGAGTTTGAGACCCATGATCTTAGGAATCTACTCAGGTATTTGTATTTTTTAAAAACAAGGTGGCGCTGACCTGTACTGGAACTGTACAGATAAGCTCAAATTATGAAAATCATTAACACCAAGTTCAAAGTATGCAAAAGTGTTATAGTGATACATCCTCATCAGAAGAAATAATCTTAGCCCTTACTAGGGTTGTAACGGTATGAATTTTTCACGGTATGATAATCGTCTAAAACAATACCACGGTTTGACGGTTTCGCGGTATACGGTATGTTACAAATGTTACAAAATAATAGAACAGTGAAGCAAATTTGACTTTTTCCAAATAATATATTTTTAGTTACTATAAACAACACCACTTACAATGAACAAATAAAAATAAGAAAATAATAAATAATGTGTCAAAGTCCAAATAAAGTCCAAATAAACATGGTGCAAATCCTCAGTAAAAAAATAGATATAAATATTTACTATACTATAAATAGTTACATAACGAAACTAGATTCAATATGGAACATCCTTAGGTTTTATGTGCCAGCATGGATATGGTTGTCTGTGGATATGGATATGGATATGGTTGTCTGCAATGCAGACAAACAGCTGCATCTTCATTTGCGTCTTTTGAAAACACCAAGAGCAGCAGTTCGTCTTTGCTGTGTCACTGTTTTGTCATGTTTCTGTGCTGCTGTGCATGCAAAAGTACTTAGTATGAGAATTATTTCATGCAAAACTTTTTTTTTTTTTGCGTTTTATTTAGCCGCGCATAAATGTATGCCTTTCTCTCATTCCGTGTTGTTCAAAAAGCTTGGTCCACAAACAAAAGCGAAACCTATGCTTATTGGTTGTGATATAGCGAGTTTGAACCAATCTGGGCATGGAGGAGGGACAATGCATCAATGTATCATGTCTGATTTGTCCGGAGACACAGTGACGAGCGTTTCTTTGTCAAATCAGCGTTGTCAAATGTTGATGACGTAACCGCACTGATTCCGGAGCCTCTGAAAGTCTGAAAGCACTGGAAAGCTGAGATTCTCTTCTTTATGCCAATCTTTGAATTGTATGAATCGGATCAGCGGATCAAAAGTTATTAAACATTTAAGAGCAATACTTATTTTTAGCGGCGGGCGGCTGTCTCGGTCTTTAAGGGTTAAAACCGTTGATATGCAATTGTTCATGGTATGATAATCGTGCACGTTCAAATCGTGGTAAACCGTCATACCGGTATATTGTTACAACCCTAGCCCTTACATGTGAAAAGTAACTTAACCCTGAGAGAAACTTTGACCAGTTGCTGACACTAGAGGAACTGAGGAAGAGATTCTCTTGCTTTGGTTAATATCCGGACTGTCCTTTATCTGTGCGCCAAATTACAAACTATTTACCATACAATTTTGCAGGCAGCCAGCCATAGGCTTCCAGAGCAGATTAAGAACAATAATAACAACAACATTTTCAATTATAATAGATGCCCACGCACATTCATGTCTGTGCTTCAGACCACTGTCTTTAAGAGAATGAAACAGATGTAGTGACAGATCTTTCCTTGCTGTCATGTACATCTGAACAAAACAGATTATCAAAGGAAAATAAAAACATTAGGCATTGACTGCTGTTTGGATGAAGGAGGATATAGGTGGGTGTGTAAGTTAAAACACACAAGTTAAATTGAAAAAAATATATATTTTTTTACATTGAATTGATATCAGTTTTAAAGACTAAATTCAAGCACAAAACCTCAAATGATGTGTAATAATAGCATATACATTTAAGTCAAAATTAATGTACATAGGAAAATGTGTCAAATGTGAGTGTCAAGTTTGTTTTAAATGTCCAATTTATAATAAAGTACTGAAAATAATAAATGATCATATTACTGTATGTTTACTGATTAAAAACACCTTGCTGACCAATATCTAAAACTTAGTACAGAGGAAGTTGTAAAAAATTACAATGACAATTAATTAGTATTTTGTGGCTGCACTGTGATCCTTAAAGTCTTTTTTATTATTCATGTTCTAAGTATGCTTGACAAGTTTTTATATTGAGAGCTGAAGGACAATTTAGTGAGTCTGTTCTGTAAACCACAGTGAAAATAAACAATTAACCCCCTTTTCTTCTTTGACCCACATTTCATTCACTAATTACAGGAATAGTTCACCACAAAAAATACATTTCTGTCATCAATTACTCCCCCTTTACTAGGTTCTTTCTTCTGTCAAACATAATATACTGTATGATTTGAGCAGGGTGATTTGGTCTAAAATCAAAATCTAGAATAATTGAACATTTTAAGTTGATTACAATTAATGAACGATTATTTAATTAATATATATATATTTTTTTTGCCCTCATAGTTCACTGACAGGTTTTGTACAGTATTTGTATTTGTAAAGTATTTGTACAGGTTTTGCTCACTTATTACAAGTGAGAGATTTCTGAAATGGATTACTTTTAATGTTTTTCATATTTAAAGTTTCTCTTTTATGTTGGACAAATATAGTAAATGTATTGTTCATTGTTCGTTCATGTTAGTAAATGCATGAATTAACATTAACTAATGAACTATTGTAAAGTGTGACCAAGGAAACTCCTAAAGCTTTGAAACCACTAAGAGGAGTAAATTGAGTAAATTTTCATTTTGGGGTGAACTACCCCTTTTATTAAACTTTTAGGTGTCTGTTAAAGCACAACACAATTATTTTCCACAAGTTGTCACACTGATCCGACCATTTAAAACAATCCTGTCCTATTAAACACTCAAGCTCCTTTTTAAAGCAGTTTTACAGGCTCCTGCTCAGTGGTCATCCATACCTTAAAAATCTGCTGGTCTTTGACTCGAAGCTCGATCTGTTTGCTCCCGATGTTGCACTTGATCTCTTTAGCTGAAGTGCCAGGAGGAACATTGACTTCGATGTAAACCTCCTCCATGGTCTGATACCAGGAGCCCCATGCAGTTTTACACGGGATCACCCCGCTCCTCTCCTCAAAATGCACCGACATGTCCCGCTCGCCTTACTGGCCTCTCATCAAAGCGTCTGCTCGAGATCATACAAACACACGCCGGTCGCAAAAACAGCAATAACTACAGCCAATGAAGTAGATATGTTTGTCATACATTCTGGTAATATTTCGAAGTGCCTTCTTCTGCAGTTCAATATAGTGGCGTGTCAAAGAAAACGAGCCACCTAGTGTATCGGAGAGCGCTGTAAAGAAATATCAAACGGAATATACACCAAATAGCTAACTGTGGTGGAAAGCGTTTCTTGTCACTGTAGAAACACCGACTGCTGTTTTTGGTTTGAAATGACTTTACTTTTTATTTATTTAAATCTAATTTACTGTCAGAGAAGATCAATCTTCAGACTGGAGAAATGTTTAGGTTACGTTGGTGATGTGTTAAGTGAAGCTGCAGAACTTTCAAGAAGTAACAACTCGTTTATGTTCAGTTTGCTAGTTGAGCTACTTTTTAACCTGTTGCTAAAAAAGCTAGTGGATTTCACTAATCTCTTAATTTGATAATCCTCAAGCATTCACTTCACAGCATGTAGGCCTACTGACAGTCATACATAGTGTAGCCTACAGTGCTTCATTCCATCTGTAGTGCTTTATACAGTACATTATGACTTCTAACTATTGACAGCTTCATTTATTTATTTAATTTTGGCCACAGAAATGGCTCTACTTTTGGCCTTTTTATGTCTTACAAGGTGAGTCCATGCACTGAGCTAGTTATACTAACTAAATGTTTTTAAAATCCTTCATGTTATGTACAGTAAGTCTAACTTCATTTCTCTCTGCTTAGCGTTACAAATGTAATAGGAAAGCAAAAGATAAATTCAGAAAATATAACAAGGATTCTAGACGGACTTCTTGAGGGCTATGACAATCGACTACGGCCAGGATCTGGAGGTAAGCATAGAAATATGCATTTTGTATTTTCATTCTGTATTTTACTTTATTTTGCTCTAAAAGCCACATAATAACCTGTTGTTAACCTTTGCAGTCTCTGTGACTGAGGTCAAAACAGACATATTTGTTACAAGTTTTGGACCAGTATCAGATGTTAATATGGTAAGAAAACGTAACACTTATATATACAACCTTCTGGCTTCTGTAAAGTATGTTTTACTAAATATCTGTTCAAGACAAGACGTTTCATTTTAGTGTCTGCATATACAAAAGTGATTTTACATTCATAGAAAGCAAATAGAATAAAAAAGTCTAGTTTATTGTTTTAATAACTTCTGTGAAAATATAATATAGGGTGAACTTATGTTACATTGTCATTTAGCGTAACAGATATGTATATGTGAAAATGAAACGCACAACTACTAATATGTAAACTTTCAGAAAAAATTATACAATGTTATAATAAAGCAGGTGCAAACCCTTGTCACTAGTTCAGTACCTTTTTATAGAACAGAATTGTAAAAAAAATTATTTTTATCATTGCAGTTTGTACCTTTAAGGACATGATTTGTACCATGGAAAACCAAAATTTACCTTTAATTTTTAAAATCTGCAGATACAGTATTGTACCTTCATCAAAGGTACAAATATGATCCATGAAGGTACCACTACAGTGACAAGACACTTTGTACCTTAACAGTGTCAAATGTTATCCTTCAAGAACTATTTAAAAGCATTTTGCTTTATTCAAAATGCGTCAATTTATTTTCAGTAAATATAAAACATCAAATACATTTTTAAACAATGTTTTTTTAAAGTTTCTTTTTGTGTAAATGCTCCTTTTCCATTTACAATAAACAATAAAAAATACTTAAACATAAATCAAAATATCTATTTTTTGCTAAACATCTTACAACACTTTTCACAAACATGTTACAGGAATACATTCTCCCATGTACAATATAAAACATTTCTCCAATTTTCACACAATACCTTTGTGATCACTTAAAAGTTCATTTAATTTACTTATTTTTAAAATAGAAATAAAATGATGCAAAAGTATTGTAATGAGATATGCCCAATGTTTGATTAGTTTTACAATAGTAAAATGTCTGCATGAACACTTTGCATATGCAGGACTTTTGCCAGCTCACATACTTATAGTGGAAAGTGAACGCTAAAAGGTGCGGATAATGAAACTGTATTTATCAGAAATTGTTTACCAAATGTTTAGGTTACAATACCTATAGTTTTGTTTTACCAGTTGTTTTGTTTTAAAGAACTTAATTAATTAATGTTTATGAGTTTCTTTAAGCATATGCTTTTAAATGATGCTTCATGTTTTAATATGGACATTTTTCATAAAATCACTTTGCCTTTCCAGCAATATTTGTTTTTATAGATATTGCAATAAAGAAGGAGTTGTCCAACACTTATGTATCTTTTGATGAGAACAACTGTGTACCTTCATTTCAATTGTACCATAAACGGTACAGAATAGTTTAATAAGAGGTCTTTTCTGTACTATAAAGTACTTTTACAAAGGTACAAAACTGTTCCTTTAGGAACATTGCTTGTACCACTGTGTACCTTTTTTCTGAGAGTGTACTTATTAAAATATATAAAATTATAGCTTTATTTATCCCTTATTCGGGGTCACCACAGCAGAATGAACTGCCAAAAGCATAATTTATCACAGTATGTTTTGTTACATTTTAAATGATTAAAAATGTAAAAAAAAATTTTAAAAAGCCTCTTTTTTTTCAAGTAAAAACTTGTATTTTAATACACCAAATGATTTTTAAATGAAGCCATCCAACATGGTTTATGTAATATAAACAATTGCGATAACATTTTAGTGGGTGTCCTCTGAAATTATGTCTGAGAAAAAAAGTGTATTATTTTTGCCTAAAAAAAACATTTATTGTTTTGATGCTTTTAATTTCCATTTGTAGGAGACCCTCATACTAAAATGAGGACACTAATATTAGTATTCCAAGTCTTTTTCACAATATGCTTAAAAGAGATCCTGAATTATGAGTTCATATCATTTGCAACTGTGAAAAGGTCATGATTCACATCGGTTCTCTCTCTCTCAGGAGTTCACCATGGATATGTTTTTCCGCCAAATGTGGGTTGATGAGAGGTTAGCCTTTCAGGGGCCCATTGAAATCTTGCCTTTGAATAACCGTATGGTGGACAAAATCTGGACACCTGACACATTTTTCCGCAACGCACGGAAGTCACTGGCACACAACATGACGTCCCCAAACAAGCTGTTCCGAATCATGCAAAATGGCACAGTCTTTTATACCATGAGGTAAAACAATCAGATTAGGAGAGTTTTAGAGAACTCTTGGTTTTAGTTTACCTTTGAGCAATATAAATTTTATTAACATCAGTTAACATAAATTAACAATGAAAAATAAAGCGTTCTAAAGCATTTTACATTATTAAAATGAGTTATATTGTTTGTTACTAAATCTGCTAATATTATTTATGGGGCTAACGTTAACCTATAATGAACTGTTATATTTTTTATTAACAGTAACATGTAAAAACAGTGATACTAAATTTAGCATATAAATTTTGTTACTTGTATAGGCAGTTGTTCAGAGTAATATAGATACTGATGGTTTGGTGATATTTGCCTTTTACACCTTCTTTTAAAACGATTAATTCCACTATTTGGAAATTAATTAATTAATTTATTATCTTCAGTTCAACAAGTTTCGGAGTAACTTGTTGCAGTAATAAACAAATAACACATCACAATTATCATTCTTAACTCATTAATTGAATTCTGATGATAAAATTTCAAACATTTTAAATGTTATTAATCCTTGTTGGCATCGACTGAGTCTGCATTTTATCTCTGAAAAAAAAAAAAAATCCCAGAAAAATGTATGTTAATTAATATATGTTAAATGTCATTGTTTATGAATTATAATCAGACTAATTGTGTTTAGAAGTTCTACTTTATAAACTCTTAGCAGTGCAGAATAGCAGTTTTGTCATCATTGTCATCCATTTCAAATGAATTGTACAAAAGTGTCTTTTTGCCAATTTTAGTTTTCTTCTGACTTTTGACACAATATAACTGCAGAAAATTGTATCATGCTATATGCCAATTAATGACCAGTACGTTGGTGTATATTATGTGACCCTGGACCACAAAATAGCCAAAAAGATATTGGATGGGTCAAAATGATTTATTTTTTCATTAGAATAAAAGTAAAAAAAAATGTCCCATGAAGAAATTTCATACATTTCCTATTATAAATATATCAAAATTCAGTCTTTGATTAGTAATGTTCATTGCTAAAGCTTAATTTGGACAGCTTTAAATGTGATTTGCTCAATATAACATTTTTGAAAGCCACAAATTTTATGTATTCCTGTAACTGTATCTTGGCCAGATATTATCTTATCCTAACAAACCATATATTAATGGAAAGCCTAATCATTCAGAGTTCAAATGATGTATAAATCTATACTATGACTATTTTGATACTGGTTTTGTGGTCCAGAGACACACCAATATTGATTCTTGGTAGTTAATTGCATTAACCAATGTTAACTAATGGCACATTAATGCAAATTTCTATCAATGGTTTTCATATTGCACACATAATTTCAAGTTAATTCAGGTCATTGAATACATTTTCTCAATATTTTAGGTTGACTGTAAGTGCAGTATGTCCAATGGTGCTGAGGGACTTTCCTATGGATGGACACACATGTCCTCTCTACTTTGGAAGCTGTAAGATCTATCTTTCTGTCCATCCATCCATCCATCCATCCATCCATCAATTCCTCAACTGCTTTCTCTTCTGCCTGCAGATGCTTACACGAATCGTGAAATTGTCTACACATGGAGAAAAGGACTAGAGGCATCTGTAGATTTTCCTCCAGAATCATCAAGTCTTCTTCAGTATGATCTCCTGGGCCAGACCTTGTTCACCGAAACATATAAGTTCAGCACAGGTATGTTCACTTCTCCGTTTTCTCTAAATATTACAAACGTCGTATATGTGTCAAACATCATGTACTCCGGCTGAATGACCTTTCTAATTGTGTGTGTTAAGAGCAGATCCAGCAGCTTTCTCTCTAAGATGCTTATCTGATCAGGCCTATTTCACAGTGTCCGTCTTTAAAAATATCCGTGTTGTAATAAGCCCAAGCAGGCACTGATCGTGTGCCTAAGATGACCAGGGGCTTAGTAATGAGAAATTTACAGGCAGGCAAGAAGCTCAGACCACCTGCTTGGTTACTCATCAGATACTCAATTTAGGCCCAGATCCAAAATAAAGATATGTGTTCCCAAAACGTACCTCTCCCCTTGCCTTTTCTTGTAATTAAGAGTCAAGGAAGCATGTTTAGCCAAATGTCCTTGATCAAAGCATCGTATGGATGTTCGTAGCTGCTGAATGTAGATGATTTGTCTTCATCAGTGTCCTCTTTTAATCTCTTGGCACCGTGTAGGACTGTATTCTGTCCAGGTCGTCCATTTCTATCTTCAGAGGAAGCTTGGATATCATCTTATCCAAACGTATATCCCTTTGATTATGGTGGTGGTTCTGTCACAAGTCTCATTCTGGATCAACAAGGAATCTGTTCCGGCTCGAACGGTAGCTGGTGTGTGCTTTTCTTTTAAGTTAAAATTATTTGAATTCTTTGAGAGTTAAATGGTCTCTTGTGATCACAAAAGCTGCATTTATTTGATTAAAAATTTTAGTTTTGTCAATTATTGTTGTAATTTAATTGTAATTTGTCATTCATTTAGGATTTTAACTCAAACGTAATTTATTTCAGCAGCTTTTAATATAGTCTTTAATGTTAGGATACGTCAGATATCATCCTGATGTGATGTTTTAGTGCTGTTCCTTAATGCTTGACTTGGCATGTTATTTCCAGTATGATGAATGAACTGGAAGTGATATCAGATAAACATTTTCTCTTTCATGACCCATTTGATTCTGCTGCCAAATGTTGCATTTCAAATACACACACAGACACACACACAAAGGAATTCATATAAAATACCATTTTTTACTGAACCGTAACTTAACTTTAATCTCGGACTTACTGTAATGTGATCAAGTCATGTCTTAATGTAATTTGAAAATAATGAAGCGCTAATGTAGTGCTGGCGACGCAGTGGCATAGTTGCTTTCGCCTCACAGCCAGAAGGTCCCTTTGCCCTCTCTCTGCTCCCAATACTTTCCTGTCTGTAACCTCCACTATCCTATCTGAAATAAAGGTGAAAAGCCCCTAAAAAACAAATAATAATAATAATATATTTGTTATAAACATTTATAACATTTACTGTTGTTTTCTTGTTGAAGACTAAAATTGTTAAAAATTGTGTCTAAATGTTTTATATATATTAACTGTAATTTTATTAGTTTTTAATTACTCGTTTGTTTATTTGTCTTCCGTTTAATAAATCTTAGCAGGTTACTTTAGTCATTTTTCCACAGCAACATTTTCTTTAAAGTTTTTGATCTAATATAGATCATTTCAGCTTTATATCATTTAGTGAAAATATTATTATTTTTGAATACTTTGATTTATTATTGCATTAACAATTATATCTCTTTACACTTTTCAGTAAGCAGTATGCTCTTATATTATGAACAAAGGCTTTATTTGCAGGCTTTCAACACTCACGGGAATGTGACCTGATTTGTGCCTGAAGGACCTTGACCATATTGACCCTGTAAGGCTGACTGGCCTGTCAGGCATAAAGCAGGGCATCTTTCTGACATCTCCGCTTTGTACAGGCAAATTCATTGACTGTTTAAAATACTACTATTTCCAGACTACAGTCTGTTGTGCAGTCTGCACAGTATGTACATTTTCTGTATAGGAAAAAATACTTCTGAAAACATAAATGGCATAAATACACATAGTTGGGTCTAAAGAGTATTGTAATTTCCTAGACCAACCTGTTAAATTCAATACGTTAAGACATTTCCGTATGAAATTGTATTGTAAAAGCGTAAATGTTAACCATTAACTATTTACTTTTCCAATTTGCCAGATTAAGCAACACAACAATGAGTTAACAATGCAAATGATAATGATTTGATGAAAACATCAGTCTGCTGGCTTTCAGCGATAATTAAGGAAGTCAGTTCCCTTTAGGAAGCCATTAAGTACAGTCGTGTACCTTTAACATTTTGTCCAATTTTCAAAATATGATTTGCTCAAATCAAAATTTGTAATGTTGTGGTTGCCAGATTTGTATCTGGTTGAACAATGGCTTCCCTTGGGAAAAGGTAAATAGAAAAAATGCAGCAGAACAAGTCATATCTGCACTGTAAAACATATCTTGGTTGCTTAAAATTTTTAAGTTAAATCAAGTCCTTTGAACTTATATTATGTTAAACTGACTTTAAAAAAAGCTTGCATAACTTATAAAATTAGGTTAGAACATGATTAACTTAATTTAATAAGTTACTATGAACTAGAAACAAATGCTGTCATAAATAACTGATCCTATAATTTATTTCAGTGTACT